GGGACAAATGATGGAGTGGAAGCTTTCACCGGAAGTTTCACTTGCACTGCTTCACTGAGTAAGTTCTCGTGGAATTGCGGGAACACTGTTTTCCTTCTGTTTATGTTACGGAGCGGCTGAGGTGGCGTGTTTGTCTGGAGTAAATTAACTTAGAGTACAGAGTACTTCCAAATTGTTTTTGTTGGAAGATTGGAAGAACTTTGGAATATGGTCCTCTGTTAAACAAATAATACAAATTATTCTACATTATTTATGCTATAAAATTTCTTTTTACCGTTCAAAATCTTCTATAAATAACTAGCTATCTGTAAATCAGCTAACACATCTTGCAGTATGTACTATGTTTTGACAGCTACACTTTCACGTACATGCTACGTGTTTTAAACGTATAAAAAAATAAGAAACATACCCACTTTCTTACTTTTTTTTTCATAGGAGTCGTCCATAAATTATGTCACACATTTAGGGGGGAGGGAGGGTTTTGAAAACTGTGACGAGCCATACAAAAACAAATTTAATGTGCATACAAAAAATGTGGCAAAGGGGGGGGGGGTTGAAAATGGGTCAAATTTGCGTGACATAATTAATGGACCATCCCATACGTGTAAAACACGTAGCATGTACGTGAAAGTGTAGCTATCAAAAGAGTGTCTTCAACGTACGTGATTTTCACGTAAGTGTTATGGGATAAAAAAGTGGATATGAAATGTGTTCCTTATGAACATCAAGTACTGATAACTAAATTCTACTTGCGTCAGGTAAACTAACAAAAAAAAAATACTTATTGAGATCTACGTGATTTTTCACATAGCATTAACGTGTAGAATTTTTTGAGTGTATGTCACACTGCAGAATACAGTGTTGCCCGCAATACAGTTGCTTAGTCTCTTAAACAATTAATAACTATTTAATTTGACGTTGGCCTGAAAAACGGTTTTCTGCAAAGTTGTAGCTGATAAAAATTCCCATAAGAATAGCAAAAGAACTTTTTAACAGTGCAATATGGAAAAAGGCTAGAAGACAATGAACAAAAAGTTTGGTTTACCCACAGTAATTTCCATATAAGTTTCGAATAGTTTGAGCCAAGTAAGTTTCTTACCCAATGAGTTTAAATTTTGGGAGGCTTATCAGGACTTGATTTGAAACCGTTTGGGCACTGTGGAGCGAAAATTTCAAATTTTGCATCAGTCTAGCGTGTACCCTTTGTTTGACCTTGGTGGTCGCTTGCCCGATCCCGAGCACCGAGATATCCACCCGGTAGCGACTTCATCAGCTGACTCAATCGCTCAGTGATAAAATTGCTCTCCGAGCCTGAGTCCAAAAGAGCGCGAGCGTGATGGCGTTAGCCATTGTCATCCTCAATTATCATGACAGCCGTTACCAACAGTACCTGTGATCTAGATGGATACATGTAATGGTGATCAAGAGCTCACGGTTTGCTAGTGTTGGTGAGTTATTTGCCATTGATGTTCATGAATAGTTCACTATTTTGCCATAAAATATGCAATGGCAAACAACAAAAAGTTTATGGGTAGATTTGGACAGATTTGTACCTGTTTCACACGACCAGATGTGACCAGTGATGTGAATTTCGCAAATAAACACGAGGAGTATTGATTATAGCAAAACTTGCCATATAGGGTAGAGAACTACTTCGGCCTAATCGCCCATTTTGGGCCTATCGAGCAGAAAACTTCAAATAAATCCTTGATTCCAGAGTTAACAAGTCAATTATGCGTTTGGTACGATACTTTAGTTAATAAGCTACGGAACGAAGTCAATGAGAACGCGTGATATGAAGGTTTGCACACATTATTCCCAGAAACAAAAGAAGCGCTCCGCCCGAATCAATTTTTACCTTCATCCGATAGGTCGAAGTGAATTCATTGGCGTTTCAATGGCGTTTCAATGCGTTAGGCCGAGTTTAAAATCCGTAGGCCGAGTTTGGCGTCAAGAAGCAGCGTTAGACTTTTGACAATATCTCAACGAATAGTTTCTCTTTATCAAATTACGTACGGTACGTACAGAAAGGTAAATAAATTTGGAAGCCATCAGTAATAATAACATTCCGTTTGGTGCTAAACTGCGCTAGATTAAGAAAGACTAAGTGTGGGTTGTGCTTAATAGGCCGGAAATGAGGTACATTCGTCATAGTTCATTTTAGTAAAAAAAACTAACACTTCTTCCTTCTGTGGCACCTTTGCATTAGGCGCCTCGACCTGTGATGCATGCTGGTGGACCGCACCAAACACCAGTTACTTGTATGGAATCAGATTTCGATGGATCCATCGGATGGATCTTCAGGAGGAAAAGGTTTGTTGCTTCCAACAGCACTAGCAAATCTTGCTTCTTCGTAGCAGACAGCTATTCCCACCCCCTTTGGGTAACAGGATCCAGTCGAGCAGTGAAGACATTCAGCAGTAGAAGATCCTTATAATCGGTTTGCTGTATAATCCGATCGAGAGTCTGCACAATCGTCTCACGAGAGTGTGCAGTTCGGTTCCAGATTCCTTGGAGAGCGTAGGCAGGTTAAACAACGACATTATCTGGCGCTTTGTCAAGTGCTTGCTTTTGTTGTACCATTGTAATAGTGCTTCATAGTGCTTCTTAGGCCACCTGTTAATTGGCCTGGATGAGTGACATTTAGAAATCACGGAAGCTGAGCCATTCATCGGTGTCACCGGTGAAAGTCTGCAGTTTGATCTGTGCAAGACGAACATGATCAACGAATCCGTACACCTTTGCATCACTTGTTCGCATAAACTGTTCCAATGCCTATGCTCCCTGAAACTCATTGACTTTGTCCATTAAACACGACTTTGCTCCTTCTCTAGCGTGGCTCTTTCCGGTTTGTAGTAATTGTGATACAACTTACCCAGGCGTAGCTCAACCTCAGTAGCGGTGTTGGTTTCCTTAAACGCTTGCACAAACCGCATCGAGGGTGGCTTCTTGGTAGCTGTAGGTATACAGAACATTTTTTTTTAATGTTTCTGGTGATGTAAACAACCATTAATGCATGTAAACTTCCTTTTCACGTAAACCAGCAACTTGCATGAAATGTTGCTTGCAAAAATGGACAGTTGAATACAAAATGGATGGTTGTAGGAAGAAACGGCGAATTGCTGGTGCTAGTTTTGTGAATGGACTAGCATCGACCGGACATATACTGGAATTGGTGCTGGTCCAGCAGTACAAGGAAGTCGTCGGGGTGATGAATGAGCGTGCCGGCCGTCCTTACGATGAAACTGAATTCCGAATTCCGTGCATCTCAGTCGAAATCAGAGTCATGCAAGTATTGCATGCAGTTGCGATCGTTGCCTCAAAACTCGTTCACAATTCGACAGTGAGCATGCATAAGGGCCTATACGCGATGATCGATTCTCTTCATCGATTTTCTCTTTGCATTGCTACAGCTAAGCGAAACAATTTTGTAGAATTTATTCAATACAGAGTTGTAACAGGTTGCATTGGCTATCAAAAGCAACAGCAAACGCACCCACAAACGTTAAATCTAGCGAGTTATTAACAAAAGAGAAAATCGATTAAGAGAATCGATCATCGCGTATACGCCCTTATGAATGCTCACTGTCGAATTGGCAGTAGCTTGATTCATAAAACTGTAGAAAGCTGGTGAAAGAATCATGTAAGCTCCAAACCTCGGTTAGACATATAAAAGCGGGACCACTTACCAACGAAAAGGTTCCAATGGATGGATTTCCAGACAGAAGTCACGTTGTCCTTTAATCCTTTGTCCAGAGCAGTGACGTTGATTGGTCACGGAACAGATGGCTACCGCGCCGATTGTGAGATGGATACCGTGGTTATTGTCCGCAAGTGTGATGGCTTCCACGACGATTGTCCACTAGTGTGATGGCTACCGTACCGATTGTCAACTAGGCATGCTATGGCGCCAAATCGTCGTGATCTTCGTCGATGCGCTATCCCATCTATTGCAGCAATCGAACAGCCAAGCAATGCGAAATAAAGACTATGAGGAGGTGTGATACATCAAATCCAACAGGAAATCTGTGTTTAGAAGGATCATATTAATTTTCAAGATAGGCATTTAAATTCAATCAAATTGATCATGAGCCAAAAAATATGTTTCATTAAAGTCGGGGTTGGTACAATATTTTTCGGCCCCGACTCCGACTCATCATGCTCAAACAGTCCTGCTCGAAAAAAAAACCCTTTCATTTGTATAATTTTTGTGTGGATAAAGCTAAATTTATTTCTATGAACCTGGAGTTGTGTTGGATGGTAAAATGTTTAAAAGTATAGGATCTCCTGCCTTTTTTCTATCCTCCTATTCTTCTACAGTTGACATTGATTGGGGTATATCTTGAAAACGAAGTCCAATCAATTCCAATCTGATATATACAAATTGCTTAAGTTTAACGTTATACAGATAAAGATAAACATTTCAAAATGTCGCATTTTATATGAAATAGGGTTTAAGAGGTAAATACACCATCGATAGGCCAATATTTAATAATGACTGTAGTACTTTTTTATGTTAATACAGAAGGTTAGATTAAAGTTTACCTAGCTCATAAGTGTAAATGTATCAAGATTTAATATAAATTCTATAAGTTGCGATGGTTTCTTTAGTCGAGTATTAGTACAAGACACTGAAAAAGTTTGCACATTATAGACGAAATATTCGTATCTGTCAAGGCTCAGCAATTAAGGTTGTGAAATTAAATGGAAATTACTAATCCTTCTCTCTTTCTTTGTATGTTAAAAATAGGTTTACTGGCCATTTAAAATTGTAAAACTCTACAATAACAAAGAAATCAACATTGTAAGACCCCCCGACTCGTCCGCTGCCTCAAGTATTTTGTCTTAATTATCATTTTAATGTTCTAAACTTCTCTTCCTTCATTGTTTCACTATACGCAATCCTCAATCGAGAACGAGAGGAAATATATTGGAGAAAAGAAAGCAAGTATGCACAACTAAATCTGCGCAATTTTCTTTTCATTTCGAGATTTGTCCTCGTGAACCTCGCGTCGGTTTCCTTGTCCGGGTGGGAAAAGTGCCGATTTTATCGGTTTTGTTCTCCGTCAACGGCCTCGTCGTTCGAGAACGTCAATCCGCCCTTCGGTAAACGATCTCCAAGTGCAACGCAGGAAACGCGGCAACCGAAGGAAAAGCGTGCGAGTGTGTCTGTCGCGTCAAGTTTCCAGAACAAAGGCCACGAGTTCGCCGTTTGCCACTGCTAGGGTGGAGGAAAATAAATTTCCAACCCATCGAGTCAGCTCAGTCACTCAGCGGTTCATCAGTCTCAGTAAGTTAGTTGCACGAGAAACGGGTCTCTGCTGGTCTCGCAGCAGGTTTCTTGAATCCTAAGACGTGCGTGAAAATTTGACTTATGAAACATAGTAAACACGAACGAGGGGACATTTCGACAATATATATATTCATGCAAAGGCACCCTCCCTGCTGTAGCTACGAAAGAAGACTCCCCAAAGTGTGAATAAGAAGAAAAGAAGACTGTGGCTGTGACGGAGCTATCAGAAGAAAAGATTGATTTCTTCAAAAAATGAGCAAAACTAAAAGAAAACAGTGACAAGAAGATGCACGCTTGCGCGAGCGGATGTGATGTGAATCCCGTGCAGCTGGGATTGGTGCAAAAGATGAGCGAGAAGAGAAAGAGAAGGAATCTTCTACGTCAGTGAGAGAAACAAAAAAAAAACGTATAAACCCTACTGAACAGATCTGTGAAGAAACGAGGCGCGATAGTTTATTAATATAATATTTAATAATTAATTAAAATGATGGCTAGTACACACAAGTACACGCTATGTGGGTGATCGTTGAAGGACGAATGAGACGAGGTAGAAACGTGGATGCAGTGGTGAGCTAAAGATGAAAGATTCGATTTGCCAACTGCACAGTGTTGCCATGTGGAGACTGATTGGGTACTTCGTGAAGAATATTACTGCACCTGCTAAATGTGGTTCATTGACCTTGCCTTGCACGGACAATAGCAAATAAATTTGATAAGTTCTGGAGTAAAATAATAATGCAATGTTTACATGATCTTCAAGCAGTCCTCGTGTAAAGTTATCGCCTTTACACGAGGAGTGGATATCTTACGGTTGTATGATTAAATGGGGTTATTTCCATAAGCTAATTAATTATGTTTTTGATTACGTATACTTTCAACAATTGAGACTAAAATGTTATTATCTATTGGAAAGTGTCCATCTTATGTGTTATCTTTATTTTTTTTATTAAATTATTACACCATAACGAAATTTTTAGAAGTTCGCATCTTTGGATCCTTTTGCTGTTGTTTGAAAATTCAGGTCGGAAGTTTTGAAAAAGCGATCCATGCACAATCAATATAAATTTCGGCTATAATTCAACTTTTTTTTCCTTGATTTGCTTACCGTCGATCTTGTTTTCCGTGCTGAACACCGATGCTACCGACGCTAGGGAGGCAGCTCCCACACCTCGACCCTACCACCTATCCATCAATTCATATACCGGGGACCAACGGCTTTACTTCCCATCCGAAGAAAAGGCGTGACTAGAGATTTTATGCTTCAGAAAATCATGGCGACGGCGACTGGGATTGAACCCAGGCCTTTTGGGGTGAGACGCAATCACGCTTACCACTACACCACCGTTGCCGCTAATTCAACACTTCAAAATAAATATTCCTATACTTTTTCTCTCTGTCCAACCAGACCCCAAGGAACATTTTACGTTTTATCAAATACTACAAGGTTGCTATAAACCCTGGTCAAGACAGCTTTGCCTTTTTTAACATCCACAAAAACCTCATTAAAACAAAAATCTGTCTTGTTGGGCCACGCTGGAAAAGGGTTTGAAGGCTATATTTTCAAACCTGGTTTTTACCGGCTGGTTTCGATTTAGGGTTAATTGCTGGATTTATCAATTGATTTGACACCCTGTATTCAACGCTTTCTTATAATAATTATGATTGAATTCGATAATTCATTAAAAATACTTTTGTTTCAATCTCTAAACATCCAACAAAAACCTTAATTAAAACAATAAAATGCAGTACATTAAATGTTATGGAAATAGCTAAATAGATTGCACGTATCCAAAAAATAGATATGTTAGCAATACAAAAAAATAATTGAACCACTGAAATTTATTTTGTATTGGTCAAAAAATACTTTACTACAGTCGAAAATACATTCACATTCACTAAGTTAGTAGCTTAAAAAAGTAACCAAGTCACTCACTTGCAGTCCTGATATAATTAAAACACTACCTGTGGGCAACATTTCATAAAATTTTGAGATTTCGACTCAAGGACGAAGCTAGATTTCAAACTAAGAGGGGGGGGGGAGCGAGGGGCGATTTATTTTTACTATGGGGGATTTGGTCGAATGCCAGTAAGCCAAGCGCTTTAATATTGCTGAGTTAATGGAGGACAGTCACCACAGCCTCCTTCCCCTTCTCTATGTTTCGACTACGCCTATGTTTCGGTCCATTTTGTCTGATAGTTAAAATAGCCCCACCACCTGGGTACTGCGGAATCAATCGATTTTATTTTGCAAGCCAATTGAAAACTGCTAGTAATTAGTATCGAACTGATTTGCTCTTTTTCAGTTGAATCCCGTCAAAAACTCTGAGTTAGAAATGCTCGAGCTCCCATGACTCTAATACAGTTTGTTTGCATTCTTGTTTTGCCAGAATATCTTTTATTGGAATTGGAATCCAGCTGACTCATCAAAATTGTGCTGGTTTTTATGTTTTCTTCATCGAGCGTGTTGGTTTCGATTGTAGAGCTTATAATTAATAATGTGTTTCGAAAAAGTATGATTGATTTCAATGAGAGGACAATGCATGACGATGGATAAGAAGAGTAACTTTGGCTCCCGTTTGACAGTTCACATTGGTTCCCAGTTGACAAGCATATTGAGTGAGTCCGCAGTACCCAACCCACCACACAGATTATGAAACTAGAAGATCCAAACTATGATCCAAAGGAAAAATGTTTAAGGTACATTTACTTTTTACAAAAGTCGCACTGCACTGATTATTCAAATCATCATCCAAACTCATTTGCAGGAGATGGCTGGTTTGTTTTCAATCAAAACGTGACGTAAACGCCATTGATAATATTTTATGTATTCCAATCATAAAGAAGAACCCTGAATTTTAAAGGCCCAAGCGCAATGTGGGCGGAAGCGGAACGGAAACGGAAAGTTTGACAGTTGTCACAAATGGCATCAAGATGCCTAACCGAAGTCGATTTGATTCTAACTAGTTTTCAATCCGACAAGTAGGCTTACTCAGATCGGGCTTTTCCGCTGGCATTGCGCTTGGGCCTTAAGAGTCTGATTTTACGGCTTCACATTTACTTCACTAAGTAGGCAGCTCTGTTGTTGTTGTTGGTACCTTTTTCAAAGCTTTCCTAGAAATTCTAGGATGATACCTAGTATATTCAGAAAACATTCGAAAGAAAATTGTATTGAATATTTCAAGGAGTCGTTTAAGAAATAGAAGTTCAAGGAAATTCTTACAAGAATTAATGCCAAGAGTTTTCTAGAGAAAATCTTTCGACTCTTATGTTTAGAGTGTTCTGCGGAGAAATCCTTTGAAAATTTGTGACCATTTAACCATTTAATGTCGATAAACAAAGTGAGTGGAGACCAGAGTTTGAGGTACTGTTTAACAAATATGGGCAGGGGGCGATGGAAATCAAAAAAACACTTAAAAACTATAAATGTAGTTTTACCGAAAGTCCCTAATACCATATTAAAAAGTTGTGAAACACCAAAACTTTTGCTAATATCACCGTGAAATTCGTGATGATTTAGACACAATTTATAGTGGCGCCGGTGGTGTAGTGGTAAGGTGATTACTTTTCACCCCAGCAGGCCTGGGTTCAATCCCAGTCGGCGCCGCCGGGATGTTCTGAGGCATAACATCTCTGATCACGTCTTCCTTCGGAAGGGAAGTAAAGCCGTTGGTCCCCGGTTCATGAGTTGATGGGTCGATAGGTAGGGTCCAGGTGTGGGAGCTGCCTCCCAGCCGTTTGTAGCATTGGTGCTCAGCACGGAAAACAAGATCAACGGACAACAAATCAAGGAAAACAAAAATTGACGCAATCTATTTATAAATGGCTTGAGGCGATTATTTTCAATTATCAACTTCAATCATCCTGACTAATGATTCCTAATAATAAAAATGTAAGGTATGGTGTTATGAGGTACTTTGATGTTTTTATACATTCATGTTATAGGGTCTAATGTTGGCCTATGGATCTAAAGATTGGCCCATCGATAAAAGTCTTCTGTTCTTAAATTTTTCATAGAAAAATACGTCATCTGGACAATACAAACGGATATTTCTGGTTGCTAGTGAAGGATTGTCGAAAAATGCTTGCCTTCGAAATTTATGTTCAAGCCCAATATTAGGGACACTTAGGCCGATATTAGGGACATTAAACCCAGTTTGAACTTTGCACTTACCAGAAAATTGTCGAAAGAAGCATTACATTTACGTTTTATCTAATCCCATTCAAGCAATCAACCATGCGTTTCCTTCAAATGCACTTCAAAGTACTCCCATCGTAGGGAAGAAGGGGTAAGAACACCCGATAGAGTAAGACGGACCACTGCCGGTTTTGTATGAAATCTTGAAGATTATTACAAATATTCAAAGCAGGAAAGATTTACAACATGTTTTTATCATTCAAATGAACACAAACTTCTCGTTCGGTCAGTCTTTCACCATCTAATTTCAAAAACAACAAATTTATGGATTTTTTGAAGAAAAACGTTTCTGATGTTTTCTGGCACCTTTCCCATACTTATTCTGTGGCTGTCATTGGCGTAAATATGTCCCCAGATCTAAAGTTGGCCCACCCCAAAGAATTAAAAAAAAAATATACCGAAGCTATGGAGGGTAAATGTTGATTTTTTTAAACATTTAAAATTCTGTGAAGAAGCTTTTCTGACCTTCAAAATAATACAGATTAAACCTATTGTTTTTTTCAATACTTGGAAAAATCTCCAAAGAACTTTATTGAAATCATATTGAATATCCATGAATATCAACTAAGATCTATGAAACTCATAAGAAAGTTCCTGTACTTCTATAAAGTATCATTAACTCAATTACATGAACTCAAATAAAGCATCCTGAACTTCATCCCAACCCTGAGCTTCTATGAATTTCCCTACATTTTTTTAATGTTCTGTGCATCGCTGAAAACTTACGTGCACTTCTACGAAGTTTTCCGAACTTATACGATTTGTTTATAGCTTGCATCTAAATGTTTACCAATATTACTGA